TGTGTACCAGAAAAACCTTCTGGTTTTGGGATTCACGTTTCATTGAGATTGCCTGTTGAACGACTGTTGCTCCATATCTACCTTGTTTGTCGTGCCATTAATTGGTTATAGTCCTAATAGTTGACGTCAGACCCTTTCCCATGATGCAGAGTGGTTGCTTTACCTGAAAATCTAGATTTTATGATATTCAATCATCGTGGAAAGGCAATTCCTATGGGAATCGATGCAAAATTGAAGTGATCTGCTTTGGATGAGGATCGTAGATGTGCGATGGCTATCCTGACAGGGGACCTATATGCATATTAGCTGCATTGTTGCCACGGGGGAGCTAGGTATAACATATGCGGGATTTCATGGACCTTGTAATGGATGGAAATATCTGGCACTGATTTTTTTGTTAGCATTACTATTTCCGTTTCTGAGTTGTGCTGATCTTCTAGGATATTGGACTTGTATACTTTATTACTGAACAAGCAATTTGAGATAACAAATCAGAAGGCTCAAGTCTTGTGCCTTGAGTTAATGTTTCGTTAAAATTTGGTCATCAACAGAACTGGTAATAGAAGCACTGGTACTTTCAGAAACAAGCAAATCTTCAGCTGCCAGACAAAAATTTCCTTCTGCAGCCTGTTGAACTTGTTTAAAGGATAAGAGACATGATAGCTAGAATTACAAAGTTAAAACGCTTCTTGTAAGCAAATAATAAAAAAGTAATTGAATGACACTAGTTCATATGGAACCTTGAGCATTCGCCTTCGTATTCTCTCCATGAAATTCAGAACGCTCTGTATATTTCATAGTGTATTGTGCCAAAAGCCAACAGCTACCACCATAGTGGAATGAAATTCAGAACGCTCTGTATGTTTCATGGTGTAGTATGCCAAAAGCCACCTACGTAAATGGAAGCAATTCTGGTCCTAGTACCGATCGAGTTTGGTCTGTCCTGTACGAAGAGTTGATCAATTCTACTTGCCTATACCATATGGATATCTACACGAGTTTCGGTCTTCCTTTACGTAAGAGTAGATGAATTCTACTTTTTGCCATTTGGCCATAGCATATGCACATCTACATTACAATCTGTTGCCGGAAATCTACTATGACCACGCCGAAGCGGTTAACGGATGGTTTTTGTTTGTGAATTGTGCTAATTGAGGGTTGAAGCCTGAAATAAAAAATTGAATTAATTTTTGAGCCTTTAAAATGCAAGAAGGAGACAGACACCAGTGAAGAAGGGCCAGACACTATTGTCACCAAGATGACCGTTGTTGGCATCGCTAGTCATGGTCAATTTGGACGTCATACACAACTGATGTGACGACGGAGCTCTCAGTTTGGACTTGGAGAAGAGGCTAGACGAACCTAAAGACATGAGGAAAACTATGCGGGCGGAAGCAGATGGTGAATAAAAGATCAGATCATCATTCTAAGACGGGTCCAAGTGACCATCAGGATTGGGGTTTCCATTAGATTAGTCAAGTCAAAAGCTAAACAATCCAAAAAAAAAAAAAAGTACATCTTTTATTTACAATCGACATAAAGCATCATCTCATGATCCAATGCCCTCTTAAATGTATATTGTATCTCAACTTTATCTGACGCTTCTCACGATTACTCAACACTGCTCATCGCCAATTCTCATGATTGTTTGGTTTAATCCTTATTTATTTATTTGCATCGTCAACATATTTTTTAATTATTTTTTTATCTCACATACACCACATAAAAAATTGCTATAGTATTTTTTTCAAAAAATTATCCCAAATAATATCCGATCCAAACATAAAGCCCAACAGCATGGGTTCAGTATCCACTCAAATAAATTAAGCAAAATTATAATGTCTCTAATGAAGACAATTAGTTCATGAAAGTGACGAAGGAAAAGGCATAACAGAAAATTAAGCAATGGAGCTACGACTCAACAGCAGCATGTAGGGTGGGTGAATCACTATCATCCAAAAAATGACAAGCTACATCTACTCCACAATTAAGTGTCCCTGGAAGAAAATGAAATAAATATCAATTTTGAAGAAACAAATTTCAATCCTAGCAATAGTACAGCCTTAAGAAATTAGAACAAGCATACTTCAAAAAAGCCTCACATGGGTTCAGATCCCCACATGGACTCTCATCACAATAACAGTACAACTACTGTGTGCCTCTAACTCTGCTCTAGTCTAATCCGCAGCTCTTCTTTTGAACGAAGTATGATAGTTCTCAACAAGCAAAGAATTCAATGTACTAATTTACAACTGAGTGAGCTCCTGTTGGTTCTCCATAGACTGCCTAAGTATAAACTCAGCTCTCCTTTTTTTGTCATCTTTCTCATCATTATGGCCAAACCAAGATGCTGTTCTTCCAGAACCCCTGTTTCTGAGTCTCAGATCCAACAAATCACCTAAAACCTTTTTCCCAGTTTTGAACTCCAAACAGACTGCAGGTCTTTTGTCTGGAAGAGTTTTTTCCACATCATGTCCTGATTCAGAAGGCCCATCCTTCATTGCCTCAATAGCTGGAGCAAATGCCTCCAACAAAGAAATGTGATTTTCCCCATCTGCTTGATTCCTAACAGTATCAGGAAGAATGACAGGAGAGACATCTTTCTCTCCAGCTTGTAAAGGCTTGGCAAGAAATGGGTTTTCACTTGCATTAGGTTGCATTTCCAGCTTGCTATCATGAGGTTCCGTGGTAGAGGTCGAAGCTATCACATCACCATTACACACCAACCTCTGTTGCAAACTCAATAAAGATCTCTCTGCCTTCCGTCTTTGCCTAGCTAACTCAATCTTATCAGCACGAGGATCCGTCACCCTCTCATTCCAGACAGGCGAGTGTCGATATGTGTGGGGATCAGGAAATGCAGGCAGCCAATCTGGTATTTGCTTGAATTCTGGTGTCTCACCCATCTGCAAGAAACTAGGTATCAGTTTCCTAGCTCTGACAACAGGAAATTGGGGGACAGGCTGAGCAAATGGAATCTCCTCAGCACACTCAACGTAGTCCATGATCTCCCTCAAGGCACCAGATTCTATGACGCAATTATGAGCCTCTGAGGCACCCAAAACCCCTCGCAACAGCCCAAAATCTTCCATCCCCTGAATTATATCAAACACATTACACGCAGTCCTGCCTGCTGAATTAGCATATGAACTTGCGGTTTTCCCTAGGTCACAAAGATACCTAACTGCAATATCAGAAAGAGATTCGAGAGCTGACTCGTTAAAGCTCTCAAATCCCACACTTTCACATATCTGCGCCACAGCAATTTTTGCAATTGCTCGGCCGAACTCATTGGCGCCCGATCGGCTAATAACAGGGTTAATCTCAATTACATTCTCTATCTCTCTCGCACTCTCCTCATTGCCTCCATCGCTCATATTCAGAAAACTCTTGAATCATTTAGGGGGTTGGACGAGTCGATAGAACTTTCATTCAGCTCAATATTTTAACGAAATTGACTCCAATGATAATAGACGCAAGTGCTGAGAAAGAGGTACAAAAACCCTAGATTTCGTAATTGAATTCAAAGCGAATCAGAAATCAACCGTTGTGTATTCTCACACACCTGATTGAAAGAAAAGCCGTGAATCTATATTCGGTATGATTTAGAGAACTTACCGCTGAAATTGACGGTGGCAGGACACAATTGTGGATTTGGAAATTGCAACAATGAGGTGATGGGTAGGAATGTATAAATCCGTCCAGTCCATCAATCTGCGATGGAATTCTACGGTTTCAGGAAGCTTTAAAAGGGAGGAGCTTCCAGGATAACTTGTTAGGGTTTATAGACGAATACTGAGTGATAAACCCTGCTCCTGGTGAGTGAGTTGAGGAAGGAGATCAAGTGAGTACCGAGGAGAGGGATTCGGGAGACGAGTCAAAACTAGAGAAGGTGAAGAGGCCTTATTTATAGATCTTTCAATGTCTAATCCTACAGTGTTGTTATGACACTTCAACCTCTCAAGTTTTGCCGTATTTGACTTTCACCCCTCAATTACACCTACTATTTTAGGGGCAGGACGTCCTCTTCCCCTCCTAGGTCCTAACCCCTTTTTTTTTTTTTTTCAAAACCAATTTCTCAATTTATCTTATCCCACTAAAAGTTTATTTCAACATGCATTTTTTTCAAAACCAATTTCTCAATTTATCTTATCCACTAAAAGTTTATTTCAACATGCATCCGAAGTTCCAATAATTGAAGCTAATTTACCATCTCCATAAATATTTGGATTAATCTTTTTTGAGCATAAGATAAATGATAACTATGTAAAATTTGAGTTTAAAATTTAATTTTTTTATATATGTTATGAATCTAATGATGACCATGTATACATTATGATTGTGTATAAGATTCAGTCTAAATATTCTAGTAAAATCCCTTGAATGCTTAAGTTTATAACAAACTTTTGTTTGGACATCTTGAAAGTTGTAAGAATGTTTTGTTCGGCTTAGTTGCAAGTTTAATCATGAAGTGAGTGAGTTTATTAATTTATTTAACTTGGTAATCATGTTATAACTCTGGTAAACTAGCAGTTGAGTTTATTAATCTAGACTATCTCCCGATAGGATTTCCTTGCAAGAGTTTTATTATTTTTTCCATTGTTGTACGGGATTTGAAAATTTTCATATATAATTTTGTAGATTTGAAAGATTTTCACTTTTATTATGTCAGATTTAGAGTTGTCTTTACTCTTTAGCCTTATTATTTGTATGACTATTTTTTTTTTCTTGTCCACTCATATTTAGACTAGATTCATAATTACATTTTCTGCCATTAGTGTAGATTTTTTTTTTCACTAGCGGCACGTCTAGTCTAATCTAACCTACTTCTACTCCTAAAAGGGGGAACTTACTTTAAGGAAAGCGACTCTAGGGAGTGGGCCAATTGAGTCGGGGGAACCTGACGGAGACTTAACCACCATCTGATCTGATCATTAGTGTAGATTCATTGCAACAAACTTTTGATATATATATATATAAGTATGAATCAGCTTAGTTCGATGTAGTTCTTGCAAGATTAGACATTAAACAGCTTGATCAAGGGCGGCTGTCCTCGAGAATAATCTATTTCTACTAAACCAAATAAAAACTTAAGAAGGGGAAAATAGGGAAAACAAAAATGGAAATTTCAATTTGACCTCTCAATAGCCTCTGAAAAAAAGAAAACGCAGAGTGAGTGTACAGCAATGAAAGGGCAATGACTGTAAACTGTGTATAATTTGAGTAGCATTTAGGGAGTTAGTAATATTTCCAAGGTTGCGAATTGCTATTAACTCTGGATAAGGCAGCGGTTCGTTGCCCAACCCTCCAAAATTCGTCGGAGAACAGAAAGAGAGAAGTAAATCAGCGAAGAAGAGGCGGAGGGAGGCGGCCCAAAAAGAAAAAGAAAAAGAAATAAACGAGTGAAAATGGAGAAGTACTTTGGGAGTCCATACAGAGGTGACCCGGGAGTCCCCCACTCCGACCCTGATCGGTTCGTCAACATATGGGTAGGATCCGCCATCTTCTCTGCTCTCACCTGGACCAATCCCTACATGTGGACACTTTCTAATCAGTTCAAGTAAACGTCCCCCTTCCTTTCGCCACTCATATGAATGTGGATAATCAAGTAGATAATAAACTAGTGTTCTTAGTAGCTAGGGCTTCTTTTAACCTTGATTGTCTGCATATGACAAACAAGCCTTTCATGGTGTCGTGTTGGATCACTCCAATCTTACCAGGATTTGACCTTAAGTTGATAGAGATGTGCAAATACAGAACTTGTGGGCCGAAATCTATTGGTGAAGCAATTTATGTTTATTATCTACTTGATTATACACATTGCTGAATCTGTCAAGTGTATTTTAAGTATAAAATGTACTACTAGCTGCTAGTACATTTTACATTATGTGCATGAACTTTTATTGAAATCTTTTTTATACTCTAGCATCTTCCTGAGAGATTCTTATGAAGGACACGGTCGCAAACATATCTTGCTAATGGTGAAATCCATTAAGCAAGAGAGCAAGATAGCACGCAACATTCTGGGGACAGTCATGTTTCATTTGTTATGCGTTGGGAATAACATAACTGACTCTTTCTTATCTTATTAGATAGCTGTTTATGGTGATGTTTCATCTAATTGTTTTGGTTTGATGCAAGTTACAAGATGCTATATCGAAGGTAGGACTTTGAGAGGAATATCTATGTCAAGAATTGTTGGTATGTTGTAGTATTTCTACGATATGAAAGAGAGAGTTCCATGCATGTGAGTCTTGCAATTTGAATTGGTCTGTAAGTTCTCTTGAATCAAGTTGCAGCTTGGAGACAGCCGGAAAGTTTTAGACTGTACCTCCTTTTTCACTAGAAATTGCAAAAAGGTCGTCTTACTTTCACCTGGTAATATGTAGTAACAAATAGATAGGCTGAGAATATTATGTGGGACAAAGAATTGGAGCAGTAGAGGGGCATGCATTTGTTTCATGTGAAGAGGGAAGAGGTCTGTCCAGGTTCAAGGACGAGACCTTGCCCCTCCGACGGTTTCTTTGGCCTTTCTCAGATTCTCCTAAAATTGATGATTATTACCAGCTTGCTTTAGATTAGTTCTTGGTTGGATCTGTTCTCCAATTTTTGTGTTTAGGGCTTCGCTGCCTTGTCACTGTGAATGCTTAGAGCGTGTTTTCTGACTCTTGCTCTACTTGTGATTTTAATGCATAGTTGGCATGACAAGGCAATGCTGTTTGAGCAGTATCACTGGAAGAAAGCACTTGAGAAGGGACAGCCCTACAAATTCAAGGTAATGAATGCATTTGAATCCATTCAACTGATGGAGTGCCTGGTACGGTTAGATGATTTGATTAGAGTGTTATGCGTGGTTTGAGCGCCCTCTTCTTTCTATTCTCGTGGGTGGACAGTAGCTGCTAGTAGTTCTTTCTCTGGTTCTTATGAATTTCATTTTGATTGTTTTTGCAGTGGAATGAGTTGGACAAAGAAGTACGAGACTCATACTACTTCAACTGGCCTGTCTACTTCCCATAGCTTGCTCTGCGTTCCTGCATTTTATTTCCTTTCATTATCAACTCGACACAATTGTTACGTTTTTGTTCTCAAATAATCAAAAGAAACATCTTCCGGACTTGTGTTTTTAAGGTTGCCGCGAGTACTTAGCTGGAACTGAGATAGCATCAGAATCCCTTTTTTTTTTTTTCTCTTTGGTTTTTTGTTGTTATGCTTTTTGCATGGTTTATTCTGCTACATTCTTATTGATTTGGGGCTTATTTTAGACAGCTTGATATCAACTATTATGGGCTTTTATCAAAGCTAAAAGCTGTTGTTACCGTTGTGCGTCGTTCTTTTAGTCAGGTCTAGTGTGGAGGAAAGATTCAATCTACAATTTGGTTTGCCTAAACCTTGGAGATATAATAATTATCCCTTGATGAAGGGTCCACTTTCATTCCAATGGCTGTTTCGAGGGCTGAATATTGACCTCTTCGTTTTTCCCTTATGTTGTTTTGGTAGCAGGAAGGATAACCTGAGGTTATCATGAATTGCAAATTAAGCTGTAGAGACGGGTCAATTCCCTTGTAAAGCAAATAAAGCAAGCAAACACTGGCCTGAACATTTATTACTTCTGTTCTGCTGATTTTTGGAGACGCTGCAAGTTACTGTAAATTTACTCTTTACTTGACGGCCAGAATGAAGTTTCGATTGTTGGACGGATTCTAAAAATCGAGGATGAATTAACCTTTTGGTTTGAGAACTTCTACGTGTAAATGTCATGCTGAAAGGAGAAAATTAAAAAAAAAAAAAAAAATTCACGATCTCCAAAATGAGCTCCTAGCTGGGCCAGCTCCATACTGGACGGAAGCGCGGGTGAGAGCTACTGAATGCGTGGCGGCCCGATTATAAACGCTTGCTTGCCAATCGTAGAACCACGTCTTCATCTCTCGCTGTCTCATATCCTATTCCTATCCTCAAAATTCATTAAAATGAGAAAAATCAATAAATATATAAGGATCGTAGCGATGCTTGTTTTTAATTCCTGTAAAAACAGAAAGTGTTCTGCGAGTTCCGAGGAAGTTGAAGCCAAATGGGCTTTCCCCTTCTTTACCAGCATCCGCCATTATCTATTGCCACGTTGATGCCCGCTTCTGGGCCCAAGTTCCCGGTTTACCCGAAATATAAAGCATCAGCGACGCAAAAAGAAATCTCCATCCTTGGCCAAAAATCAACACAACTACTCTCGTCAAAATGGTTTGCTGATAATCTTCGGTCCGGGCCGGTTAACTTTTTCCTCTCGGGCTCTCTAGCTCTCGCACTTTCTCTGGCGGGTAAGTATGTAACTTTAATTCAGCATCATCTGGAACGCATAATCTTGAACACTGGCCATTCTTTCATTCACGGTTTGGTTTGGTTTGGTTTGTTCTTACGTTGTGTCATGCGCAAGTTTTATGTGCTGGGATTGCAAGTCAAACTCCAGCTTTTTTATTTTGGTCGGATTTCTTTGTTGAACCTGCAAATGTGTAAGCATGATGGAGTCATGATTTCACTATTTTCGTGTTCGGTTATTGTGATTTTGATTTCCCATGCTACGGGATGTTATTGTCTGGTTGGTAGCTAATAAACGATAAACTACCTGGGTTTAAATGCCCATTATTGATCTTTGATGCGATGTTCTGGTTAGTTCCATTTGTAGTTTGATAGAATCTGTGTTGTCTCTTTTGGTGAAACTTGTACCAAAATAAAAAAGAAAAAAACATGCTTTTGACATGCAAATTAATCAGTGATTGATTGTAATCCTAAAGATTGCAGAATGGTATATATATATATTCTTAAGAGAATGCTTACTTCTCTTAACAATTTAAAGTATTTTTAATGCTTGAATGTCTGTGATGGGGGGAAAAAATGGAAAAGGCAACCGTTTTCCATATCAAAATAGACATGTAGGGGAGAGCTACGCATCAATACTTAGGGGGAAGTTTGTTGTGTTTTTGAGGTCTTAGATGATATTTATACATATTACTTCACTGCTAGATTGTTGAAGTTTTTTGCGTGTGTAAAGATGAATTTGTACTCTTATGGACCTTCTATTATAGTCTTGTACTAGTCTATTGTTTAGCTTCCAATGCACTTCATACGTGTTACTCTTATGGGCTCTTTTGCAGTAAAATGCCCCTCTTGGACAGTAAATGTAAAAGGGACATTGTGGAATTATCATTGTGATGAACACATTCTGTATGGTTATTGAGGCCTTCTGCATTAATTAAGCTGTGGATGAATAAAAGTAACAAATAACTTGTAGGAGTTGGAATTGCTGAGGGAAAGGTTGGGGTTAACAAGCCAGAATTGCTTCCTAAGGAGTTTACACCAGTTATTGATGTTGCTGGATTCCTCTCAGATGGCCAGGTTCGTGACTGTTTCTGTTAAATGTAGGACACATATGTAGATATTGGGTACTCTGTGATTAATATCCTTATGCTTTTCCACTGTTACTAATAATTCTCTCCTTTTGTTCCTGTGCATGTCCCATTGCAATGTACATTTTTGTGCTTTCCTGATTCCATGGTGTCTTGACCAATAGAATGAATTTGCCCGTGTTGATTACTTCTCTAACATGTTTTGCATAAATGAGTTCTGAGTTCAGCTTCAGTCAGCAACATCACATTCAGAAACCGTAGTTCTTTGTCATTCTAAATGCATGAATGAGCTTCATAAGTTGCCAACTCTCCTTCCTAAAATGTGCTATTCTGCTGAACTAAACTCACTCGGTTTGAAAGAAACCTCTGGAAGCTAGTTTTGCCCAGCACTATCCTGGTTGTACAGATGGTTGGGAGTCTGGTTCGTGAATGTACACAAGATGTAATTGCTTTAAGACTCAGCCTTGTGGAGTAGTTTACTACTGAATGTGAACTCCCTTTACTCCAGTTAAACTATCCCTAGCTTGAAGTTTGAACACATGTTGATAGCAAAACAAAGCAACACTCAAGACTCCAACCCCGTGAAAGCTCTTTAACTCTCCAATGGATGTAGGAATGGAGCAATTTAAGACCAAGGCTATTGCACTTTGCTTAACCTGCACAAAATAAGAAACACTAAGAAAAGCAAAGTTAAGATTGTTAGTAGACAAATAAGTACTCTCACTAATTCCCTCAATTTTTGCAATCATACTCTCCATCTCAAGCGAACTCTCACTCATCTTTTCACTCAAGCACAATTCACTCTCTTTTTCATTATCACTCCCCTTGATTATTATTTCATGTACATTCACACTTTGTATATTACTGCGCTCACTCTCAACTTCCTCCTCCTATTCCTCAATTTTAATAATGATTTCTTCAAATTCAACTTCACTTTGGATGAGCTTAGGTGGATTTTCATTGGCAACAGTGTCCATAAAGTTCATATTAGAAGATGCCTGAGTATTGCATTTAGTTTTCTCCTTTACTTGCTTCTCATGTAGAAGTCGTTGGTGGATATCCCACCATGACTCCTCATGTGACTCATTCTTAGAAGTAGGTGTGGAATTTGTCAGATGAAACTCCTGTTTCCTCCTTTGAAGTCACTTTTCAATTTTAATCACCATACTTACCACATCCTTCAACTTCATATGAGGTAGAATTTCAATATGATCACCAATCTTTCTATTCAAACGATCCAAAAATTGGTTAATGGTAGTGTCTAGATCTTCTTCAATCCCAGCTTGCTTCATTATTGACTCCATCTCTTCAAAATACTCAACCACGGTCTTAGAATTTAGATTAAGTAAGTGGAATTTTTGCAGCAACTCTCTAAAATAAGTAGGAGTATATCTCTTAAGCATTATCTTCTTCAATGCACTCCAAGTGGCAATTGATGGTAGACTACATAATCGACGTTCCTTCACAAATTGATTCCACCATGTTAAAGCATAATGATTAAAAGCACAGGTAACCAAAATTACCTTCTCCTTCTCAGTATAAGATGTAGTTGCTTTAAGACTGAGCCTTGTGGAGTAATTTACTACTGAACGTGAACTCCCTTTACTCCAGTTAAAAGTCATTCCTGATTTTGAAGAAAAATGCTCTGATGGATGGAAAGGTGTCATGGAAAACTTATTTCTCCAGGGTGGAAGTCTGTTCTGTTGGTTACTTATTTGCTAGTCATGTTGTGCCTAACAAATAAAAGTGCACCAGTTTTACTGAATGATGATGACTAACTAGGCAGGGTGTCTTAATGTTGTCAAATATCGGCAGGAGAATAGACTTGCACAGGAGATTGCTGCAATTGAAAAGGATACTGGATTTAAATTGAGAGTTTTGGCACAGAACTACCCTGATACACCTGGTATAAGCATTGAATTTCTGATTAGCATACGGCTCTTAAGATAGTGATTCCATGTATTAAGAGAAATTTCTCTTCCAACTTGTTTCAGGGTTAGCAATCAAAGATTTCTGGAAGGTGGATGATAGAACTATTGTTTTCGTGGCTGATCCCACCTTCGGTAAAGGCCTGATATTACTGCCTTATGATCCCCTTATCTATGTCATTATACTTACTTTTTTTTTTTCTTGGGTCTTCTGTATCTCAGGAAACATATTGAATTTTAATGTTGGGGCTTCAGTAGATATAGATGTGCCTCGTAGCTTTTGGGGACGTTTGGCAGGCAAATATGGAAACATGTTTTACTGGAAAGAGAAGGTGAGTTTAATGCATTCACAATCAGAATCAATTTGTTTATTTTAATCAATCAGGATTGTTAGAAACCAAAAGCCGTTATATATATACCCAATACATGTGACAGGGAGAAGATGCATCTATTGAAGCTGCTGTTGTGGCAATAGGGAACTGCTTAAGAGAACCAGTAGGTGCTAACAATTGCTCTGAGGTGAAATAATATATGTCTCCAGGATACTCCAGAAATTGTGTCCACCCTTAACTCACTGTGACAGAGTAATAGTATTCTCGATGAAGCTGCAGTCGCGTCGGAGCCACGGTGCGACGAAAGCGTGAGAGGGAGGAAGAATGAAGGTTCCTGTTTCTGGCAATAGCAAGCAAAGCTGCAGTTGCACTCCTCATGGGTGGAGGGAGGATGTATGTAAAGCAGCGTACTGTTGATATGTGAGAAATTACTTGTTTGCGATTCGAAGTCTGATGCGGAAAGGGCTGATTGCGGCGATTATTGTATTCTTTGCGGTAACATGGAACACTTTCACGCATTCCCCTAAGCCATACGGTTAGTGTAAAGACTTTTTGATCGAGCGTACACATAAGTGCACCTGAAATATGTTATCGCACGTCTCATGCTTGCGGTTCTATAGAACGACGCGACGCCTGAAGTGATATCACAGTAAATTTCAGATGGCACTAAATTTTACCCTCAAAAAAATATATAACCGCACTTTAATATTCAGTATACATCGAATATTTATTTTATTTAATAAGAACACCCAAAACATCGAATACTTGTGTAGGTGTTTAATGAACTTAAAGGTACCGAAAAAACAAATATTTTCTTGCCTCTCCCAAGCCAAACCGGCAGAGCATTTATTTCCACTAATAATACTGGCAGTATAAGCAGCAGCATTTATTCTCTGCCTCCGTCGGGAGGAGGGCATTTGATCAAACAGTTGGCCTTCGCTCAAACCCTGTCCCCGGGTCGTCAGTACCAGGAAACGTCTGGAAGCCAGTGACAGCTGCAGCAGGTGGGCCCCTCCGACACCGCTGCTCCATCTCCTGAACCTTCTCGGAAGGCCCTGAAAACAAGGCCTCCACTGAGCCATCCCGTCGGTTGCGAACCCAGCCCTTCAACCCCAACTCCGAGGCATTTTGCACAGTCCAATCCCGGTAGAAAACCCCCTGCACTCTTCCCTTTATCACAACCCTTTCCTAAGTAAAGGGGGAAAAAAGTCCAACAAAACTGTTATATGACAGCTAAAGACTCAGTAAATTGTCCAGAAAACAAAAAAAAAATGAAAAAAAAAAGAGTGGGGCTTACGGTTTTAGTGGGGGGATTGGAATTGGATTCGGGAGGTGGAGTGGCTAAGGAGGACATAGGAGATGAGAGAGAATGTGTACGAGGTCGAAGCAGAGGATATAGAGGAGGACTAGGAATAGGAATAAAATCGCGAATCGGAAGAGAATGTAAATGAAGACGAAGAGTAATAGGAAGTAGAAGAAGAGGAAGCTGGGTGGGTCGTCGTATTCCCTGTAGTAGGTTAATGCCATTTCTGCTTCTGGGCCATAAGTGGAGCTGCTCTACCCGAGGGTTCCGGAATATAAGGGATTTGCTGCAGCGGAGCATCGTCACACCGTTCAACTAGTTTTGGTTTCCATACGTGGAGAGTGGAGAATGGTGGGAGGAACATTCAAGAGCCAGGAGTACGTATGTAGGCATCTTGTGGTTCTCTTTCGATAGTGGATTTCAGAATCTTCGGGGCAGGCCCAAGGTCTTTGTCCTTAAAAATCTGTTCGTTCTACTTGGTCCTATGATATTCTTTTGGCGGTTATGTGTTAACTCCATGTTGGCCCCTCAAAAAAATGTCTCATGCGCGGTGGAGGAGTTGATTGTGAATTAAAAAGAAATCAAAGGCTCTTTGGTAATTTCATGCAATTCTAATCTCTTCCCTTCTACTTCTTGATTGTCTTTGTCTAGCCCCCCCCTATCTCTCTCTCTCTCTCTTTAGATTGTCACGGCTAACTTACAAGTAAAATCTATTAATGATGATAGTAGAAGGGCGATAAATGTGTTCTACGGAACAAATTTTACCTAAAGCTGCAATTATAAACTCAAGAGCCCGTGATATAGAAGGAACCTTTTCTGTAATTTGCAGATATTTTTTTTTCTTTTTGGGTCTAAATAGAAATTTCAAACCTTACAAAATGAAAGGAAGAAAGAAGAGGAGTTGAGAGTCAAACCAACGACTTACGATCATCCAACTAATATCCCTACTCGCCCAGTTGGATCTTAGGAACACAAATCCTCTTTTTAAATCACACATCAAATCAACCTAGCTTGTTCTTCGCTTAGTTGATTAGTGAGCAACGCTCTTTGTGTTGTGGGTTCCATTAGTGGACTTAGCAGCAACCTCCCTGTTTTCCTGTCCCGGGCACATCGTTCTTCAGGGTTGTGTGAGTTTAGGATTTAAGTTTCGCAGAAGGCTCCAAAAGTTAGCGCCTTTTGGGGTTCTCCTGTGAAGTTAGTTTAAATGTTAAATTTGCCAATTTCGATAGAAAAAAAAAAACGCTCTTTACAGACTCGAACTTTTGGAAATTGTCTGCTTTTGTGTACTATTTTGTCTAATGGGCTTCGTTGAGGAGATACGCTAACAATAAATTCTGAGAAGCCCAACTACGGTCCACCATGGCAACCTCTCCCATCTCCGTTGAGAAGCTGTGGTCTTTTGTGAAATAGCTAAAGTCCTCGGCCAAAACCCAGTAGCCTGGTTGCTATTCACTAGGTTCCATTTGGATAATACCCAAATACTACTACTGTATAGTCTGTATTGTTGATTCGCAAGTCGTAATCTAAAACATCTGGTGCGGCAAACACGCAAGACATGCGCCCATTTCGCCAACCGTGCGATATCAGGTTTGACTATGCCCACGATCTTATCCCCCATCCGTGATCCAAAGTCAAAAAGGCTGCTAGACTGAATAGTGAATACTAATCAAAATCAAACTCCCGTGCTTTTCGGGTCTCATGCAACTTGCTAGTTGAGAACCGAAGAATCTTCAAGAGAATTTTCATGCAGTCTCTTGTTTTCAGCATGGCCTTGCGTCATTGCGTGGGCTACTGATTCTTAAAACCTTGACTTCTTTGATTGCCATTCGCAAGAATTGTGATCCGGAGGCCGTCTCTTAATTTGACACCAGGTTTCTCAGCTTCAGTCATTCCTAGGCCCCTCCTGGGAAGTGAGCCTTTTTTTTTTTTGGCTAATTTTTCACCTACAAATTTTTTAATAATTGTATCTTCTTCAAAATTTTTTAAAATATATATTTTAAAATATTCAAAAAACACACAAAAAAATTTGTCATTTTTTCTTTCTTCTTCTTCCTCCCCCACCTCAACATACCACCACCACTTCTGCCGCCAACTACCATCGGCAGCCACCTCTTCATGTGCCGACAGAGGTTTTTTTTTTTTTTTTTTCCCTTATCTTCTCCCTCTCCTCCTTTCCTCTTCCCTCCCCTCTCCCCTTCCTCCCCGACCACCTTCCCCCTTCTCCTACTCCTCCCTTGATCGGGTGACCAGATCGTGATCAACCAGAGTCGTCGCGATCTGGTCACACGACCGGCTCACGGTTTAGGACCATACACTCAAAAGGCAAATAAGAAATGATGTACACGGTTTTCATTAGGAAAAGAATATCCCATTTGAATAATGCAACAAAATTGCCCAGTAGATAAGGAAGACAGGATCCTTTTATCGGATTCAATAATGTATGCCTGTCTATCATGACGTTTTCGGATGTAAAAGCATCATTCTTAGTCGACCTCACGGAGAGATTCATGCCTTATTTGGATCGTGATTTTTTGATATTTTTTATAAATATTTCTCTTTAAATGTTTTTCAATTTTTTTTTTTTTACCTCACGTACGTCACATCATTAAAAAAATATATGTCCCCAAAAACTACTCAAAAAATGTAATCCAAACCTGCTCTTAATATTCTCTCTAAAATTTACTTATACTGCTTGACTAGTGTATCATATTGGTAAGGTGGGAATAGTACGTACATTTCAAACCTTATACTATTTGTAAACATAAATACTATAGAAACACTGAACGCCTGAATTGTTATTTGTTAGAGTTTCTGTAGAAAAATATATTATAACGATCTGAGGTATATGAGATAAAAAAAAATGATTCAAAACTATGATAACGGAAAATATAAATTTTTTTTTTTTTTTGAAAAACTTCAATTTGAAAACCAGGCCGCCATAAAAAGATGTAGGCTAGCATTATAATAAGCAAAAATATTATAGAATCACGAAACTTTGAAGCTTAGTGTTGTTCTAATTTTTTTTTCTGGCGTGTAAACTAATTTCATTTATTCGGACAAACTAAGAGCATAAAAATTTAACAATATAGTCATATCACCATATTATTGGGCAGAAATCGGAAGCATATAAGTCCAGGATTACACATATTTTTCTCCGTCACCTAACACGATATTACCTAGGAAAATAGTTGCAATTCTCAAGTCCGCTGCTTTTAACATTTCACGAAGGCCCCCGCATTCTTTATATTCAGATTTATGCTTGTGTTGTTTTCAATTTACCTCTCCGTTCTTTATAAAGGCCCCGCCCGGAGGAAAATGCGTGGCGTGCCAATTCAAATGGCGACATGGCGCCACGTGTGAATGACGTGGAGAGGGACCCGATACGTCCCTTTCATGTCGCCTCTTCCCCTTTGGAGTCAAAATTTATTCCATCGGATTCCTCAACCCCAAACCCCATACCAAAAAACTGTGAGTTATGAAAGGGGATTCCTCAACCCCAAACCAATTTCATACTCTCCCCTCGCATCACGCATTCACATGTGCATCACATATATATTCCATACATGGCATGTCAAATGCATGTACATGAAACCCGCGCACACACACACACACACACATACGTATGTCCTCGTAGTAGTAATAAAAATAATAATACGTATAGTCGCAGAACAAGCCAAAATAAACGTTGGCCTCGTCATAGTCATAGCTGAGTCAGAAAAAATTACAAGGTCAATCCCTCGTGAGTCAGCACGCTCTCTTGTTTGTTTAGCAATTTTGGTTTTGTCGTTGTAGTGATGCGGACGGAAACCATTCCCAATTAATTTTGTTTATCTTCAACTACTAGTCTCTCTCACCCACTCACTCTCACACACACACACACACAACACGCAACACGCAATCGAGAGCGCGCGCGCGCACACATATATATATATATATATATATATATATATATATATATATATATGTATAGAGGCCACGGGCCACTGTCCCAACACCAGTTTTTGAGTGCTTAGTCTATACATTTTTAATTGAATTATAATCCATGCGAAAGACACACGACCTAATGTCGTAACTGCATGTGCTTTAGATTAATACTTGGAAAGCAAACAAATGGGTACGAGTTGGTCTGTATGTGTATGTGCTCATGGACATGGCTAAGACCCTACCCCTCTTGTAGGCAAAAACCGGTTGAAATCAAGAAGCATTTTATCCTTGTTGATAAATGAGTTGTTTACCAATATTCCATCGTCCATTTGCAAATGAAGGAGACTAGATTGAAGTCTTTGCTGAACG